AAGACTTCTCTCAATCTCTAGCTCTGACATGTACAGAAATATTAGGGGTACAGTTGTGTGACACAAACTATTTCCTCTTTAATTTCCAAACTAACAATTTTTTCTCCTTTGAGATAAAATTTAGAGTGAAATGCACAGATCTTGAGTGTACACTGTAATGAGCTTTAAAAAATGAGTAGCCAGGCTGGGTGCGGTGGCTCACGCCTATAATCCTAGCACTTTGGGAGGCTGAGGTGGGTGGATCACCTGAGGTCGACAGTTCGAGACCAGCCTGACCAACATGGAGAAACTGTCTCTACTAAAACTACAAAAAATTAGCAGGGGGTGGTGGCACATACCTGTAATCTCAGTTACTCAGGAGGCTGAGGCGGGAGAATCACTTGAACCCGGAAGGCAGAGGTTGTGGTGAGCCAAGATCGCACCATTGCACTCCAGCCTGGGCAACAGGAGTGAAACTCTATCTCTAAAGTAAACTAAACTAAACTAAACTAAACTAAACTAAACTAAACTAGTAAAGTAAAATAAATAAAATAAAATAAAATAAAAATGATTAGCCAATTCCCCCAATCAATATAGAAAATATTTCTAGGCCGGGCGCGGTGGCTCAAGCCTGTAATCCCAGCACTTTGGGAGGCCGAGACGGGTGGATCACGAGGTCAGGAGATCGAGACCATCCTGGCTAACCCGGTGAAACCCCGTCTCTACTAAAAAAATACAAAAAACTAGCCGGGCGAGATGGCGGGCGCCTGTGGTCCCAGCTACTCGGGAGGCTGAGGCAGGAGAATGGCGTGAACCCGGGAGGCGGAGCTTGCAGTGAGCTGAGATCCGGCCACTGCACTCCAGCCTGGGCCACAGAGCGAGACTCCGTCTCAAAAAAAAAAAAAGAAAATATTTCTATAACTAGAAAAATTCCTTTGGGGCTCTTCCAGTCAATTCCCATTACTTCCACCCTTTAGAAAACCTGTTTTACTTTTTATCACCAAAATTAGCAATTCTTATACTCTTCTGCAGGACTTGTGATGACATATTGCTGAACCACACCCTGTATCATTCAGTAGGTCTGAGATGAAGTAACAGGCATTTCAAAGTTCCAGACTAATATGGATGCTCCTGGTTTGGGAACTAAATGAGAATCACTCACATTTTATGGAAAACTTAACCTTTTTTTCTTTTTTGAGGTGGAGCTTCGCTATTTTTGCCCAGGCTGGAGTGCAATGGTGGGATCTTTGCTAACTGCAACCTCCACCTCCTGGGTTCAAGCCTCCCAAGTAGCTGGGATTACAGGTGTGTGCCACCACGCCCGGCTAGTTTGTATTTTTGGTAGAGACAGAGTTTCACCATGTTGGCTAGGCTGGTCTCAAACTCCGGATCTCAGGTGATCCGACCCCCTGGGCCTCTCAAATTACTGGGATTACAGGTGTGTGCCACCGCACCTGGCCCTTTTTGTGTGTGTGTGGAACGGAGTCTCACTATATTGCCCAGGCTGGAGTGCAGAGGCACAATCTTGGCTCACTGCAACCTTCGCCTCCCAGGTTCAAGCGATTCTCCTGCCTCAGCCTCCTAAGTAGCTGGGATTATAGGCATGTGCTACCACGCCCAGCTAATGTTTTTTGGTTTTTGTTTTTGAGGTGGAGTTTTGCTTTTGTTGCCCAGGATGAAGTGTAATGGCGTGATCTTGGCTCACCACAACCTCTGCCTCCTGAGTAGCTGGAATTACAGGCATGTGCCACCACACCCAGCTAATTTTTGTGTTTTTAGTAGAGACAGGGTTTCTCAATGTTGGTCAGGCTGGCCTTGAACTCCCAACCTCAGGTGGTCTGCCCCCCTTGGCCTCCCAAAATACTGGGATTACAGGCCTGAGCCACTGTGCCTGGCCTAATTTTGTATTTTTAATAGAGACAGGGTTTCACCATGTTGCTCAGGCTAGTCTCGAACTCTTCCTGACCTCAGGTGATCCACCCGCCTGGCCTTTCAAAGTGCTGGGATTACAGGCGTGAGCCACCACACCCGGCCAATTTTAACTTTATTTGAATACAGAGATTGTCCTCTTGTTACTTTTCTTTCCAGACTTTTTTTTTTTTTGAGGCAGGGTCTGCTCTGCTGCCCAGGCTGGAAGGGCAGTGGTGCAATCACAGCTCACTGCAGCCTCGACCTCCAGCTCAAGCAATCCTGCCATTTTGGCCACCCCAGTAGCTGAGACTACTGGCCACAGGCCACCACAGCTGGCTAATTTTTGTATTTTGGTGAAAGGGTTTCAACATGTTGCCCAGGCTGGTCTCGAACTCCTGGGCTCAAGTCATCTGCCAGCCTCAGTCTCCCAAGTGTTGGGATTACAGGTATGAGCCACTGCCCCTGGCCTCTGTGGCCCTTCACAAATGGCTATGTCTAAGTGTCATTCAAAGCAAGGTAGACTCAATTAGCCTGAGACAACAGGTGTAATCTGGACTAATTGTTTCCTCATGATTAGACATACATTATCTTTTTGGCAATGATATTGTGTACTTCCCATTGTTTATCAGAAAAGACATTTTAGTTTGTAACATTCCTGGTGGTGCTAAGTTGGAATCCTTGGTTAAGGTGGCTGTAGCTAAACTCCAATTTTTGTGTCCATAAACCCCATCGTGCCAAAATGTAGAAATTTTATTTCCATCAGCAATGTGGTCAGAGGCCCTGACCAACATTTACCCTTGGAAGCTGCCATGTCCCTTTGGTGCCAAGAGAAATTTGGAAGGCTGGCTCCAGGTTCCCCACACCAGTTACAGCATGGGCACAGACCTATTTGTACAAATGTTACCTTAACATCCAGATGGGAAATTGGGAATACAAACCTCTTCTCTCAGCTCCCCCACAAAACAGCAAGATGTCATGCCTCTGCCAGGGAACTCATCTGAGACACAGGGAGTTTATAGCTCCAGCTGTCTTCCTCTTAGTATTCTGGGAGTATAGCCGGCAGACAGGGAGTAGGGGACTGAATGTGGTGATAGGAACTTTGGGGGAGGCCTGTGAAAATTAGGGTGATTTGGCGAGTTATGTAACTTTAAGGTTTTATCTTGCCGGGGCAAGAAGGATGAGTAAATAAACTGTCTTACTGGTAGACTCCAATTATTAATTTATTTTGTATAGAGAGAAATTTAAGTTTATTGAAATGTGTTAGAAACAGGGAGGTATCTACCAGCAGAATAATAAAGCAAAGGAAATTTCCAAATTAATAGAAAGGAAGGAAACGGAATAGAAACTTGACCCATCCAAAGAAAGTAGGATAGAAGTTTAAAAAGGAAACAAAATTAAAACGAACAATACACACAGTATAAGAAAAAAATGTCTATTATTTATTACACCGAACAATTCTGACCACCAACAACCAATGGGGTCCAGGAGAGAAGAACATCTTGCTTCTCAACAAACTTTCCTCCCTTGCTTTAGCATTTTTGAGGATTCTTTCCCAAACCTATTACATCTGTATTATGATGGTTACAAATTTTCCAACTCTGCCACTCCTTCCAGTGCATTATTTTTAGTATCTTCATTAAAGGTGCAAAATAAAATAAAAATAATAAAAATTCCGTACTTGTAATAACAAAACAATGATGGAAACTGTCATTAAATCAGGACAAGTGAAAAACAGATCTGTTCCCAGACTCACAGGACTATAAATTTAGGAAGTACACAAAAAAATTAAAAATTAATTACACCCAATAGGATACATTAAATATGTACAGTTTTTGTATGTCAATCATACCTAAGTAGTTTTAAAAACAAATGATCCGACCCATACCGGCAACTAATAAAGAACAAACAAATGAGTCATACAAAAGAAAAATCACAGCCGGGCGCGGTGGCTCACGCCTGTAATCCCAGCACTTTGGGAGGCCGAGGCGGGCGGATCACAAGGTCAGGAGATCGAGACCACGGTGAAACCCCGTCTCTACTAAAAAAAATAGAAAAAATTAGCCGGGCGCAGTGGCGGGCGCCTGTAGTCCCAGCTACTCAGGAGGCTGAGGCAGGAGAACGGCGTGAACCCGGGAGGCGGAGCTTGCAGTGAGCCGAGATTGCGCCACTGCACTCCAGCCTGGGCGACAGAGAGAGACTCCGTCTCAAAAAAAAAAAAAAAGAAAAATCACACATTTTGGTTTACTCCTACTTTTAAGAACACTAACAATAAAATTTGCATGCAACGAATACGGTTCCCTAAATACAACAGATGAATTATTTTATATACACATCTTATTTTTATTTATGGAGAATCGGTTAATAAACACATTTAAAGTTCAACATATTATGTATTTATGAGTGGAAAGTAACCTTAAACATTTTAAACACCAGAAATATACAAAACAATTATAAGTGAAATATACAAAGTCCCCTGTGTTTTGATCCTGGAGTCAAACCACAGAAATCTCAGGTTAAGAGAACTTTGAAAAATATTGTTTTGAATATTAAAAATCATGTGTTTGAGGGAGGGAGAGAATTAACAGCCTTTCTTTGCCTTAAAATACTTTACGTTTTATGAAATTGCAATTGGAATGAAGCAGCTCCTAAAGCAGTCAGTGTTCAGAGGAAGAGAAAATTGAGCATAAGAGCCAACTACCGTTTTACTCAACTCCTTCACAACGCTCAGCTGAAGAATTCTCACTTAAAAGACCTGTTGAAGGTCAGGCACAGTGGCTCATGCCCATAATCCCAGCATTTTGGGAGGCCGAGGCGGGTGGATCACTTGAGTCCGGGAGTTTGAGACTAGCCTGGCCAACATGGGGAAACCCCATCTCTACTTAAAAAAAAAAAAAGGCCGAGGCAGGATCACCTTGAGTCCTGAGTTTGAGACTAGGCCTACTAAAACATGGGAAACCCCACTCACTTAAAAAAAGGCAGGGGGCTAGTCAGGAAAAAAAAAAAAAAAAAAAAAAAAAAAGCTGGGTGTGGTGGCTGGTGCCTGTAATCCCAACTACTCGGGAGGCGGAGGCAGGAGAATCACTTGAACTCAGGAGGCAGAGATTGCACTGAACTGAGATTGCACAAGTGTACTCCGGCCTGGGCAACAGAGTGAGACACTGTCTCAAAAGACAAAACAAAACAAAAAAGAGCTGCTGCTGAAGTCATGTCTATTTTAGAAAAGTAGTACGAATGAGTTTTTCTACATATTAGCTACAATTTATGGTAATTTGCGAAATGTTTTTCCATTTTTAAATCTGAGAGTCTCTATCTCCACTCACAAAGCAACAGGCACTGCTAGGGCTCTTAGGCTAACATCTGCCACCCCACCAGTCTGCACGGTCCATAAACAGGTGTGCAGAGGACCAGAGTTCACCTGTCAGCAGCCCCGCGGAATCCGACTCTCCAGACTTTCTGCCATTAATTACCATAGATGTGGCCTTTTTCCTGATATTCTATTCCCACTGGAGGCTTTTTATTAAGACCTTGTTCCTATAAAGCAAATAAAATGTTTGTTTTCAAAAAGATAAGAATCAAGAAGTATCAAAAATAGCCAAGAAACCCGCTGCTGGAATGCTGTTGAAATTGCCCTTACAACTTTAGGATCATAAGTAACAAGCCTATGATGCTGTCATTCGAGAATGAAGATCATCAGCCAAGTTATCATGCCTCTGAAATATGTTCCCCGACTTGTGCGAACCATGGACAAGAGACCTTGGAGGGGCTCTTTGCATCACTTTCCCAAAAACCCAAGTATGTCATTACAGGACTACCCAAAGTGACCTCCTCACTTCTATTCAACTTGCTTGGCATAGAGAGATTATCAAAATACAGCAAAAAGCAGGCTATCCCAAAGGAAAAGCCAATCACACATTCACACACTTCCTCCTGTGGGAGATGGTCTTGCTATGTTTCCCTGGCTGAGAGAAATTACCGATCCCTCCTTTCCATCTAGTCAATTCTTCCCTTAACTTAAGGAATCTCTTCTTTGATATTCACCATGTTATTCCAGGTGTTTGTATGTGCACCATCCCTGTTTAGACTGTAGGCTACTTAAAGGAAGAGCTTTTTTACTAGTCATTATTTCTGTGTAGGGCATACACTTTGAATATAGTAATTATATAATGTTTGTTGCTCCCAGAATTCTGTGTCTCCAGGTAGAAGCGTTAAACCCTGACACAGAAATGCTTTCTGTCTCCTGGGGATAAACTTAACTGAGTAATGATTTTCTTGAAACTCTTTACTGACAATTTGAGCTTGAAATACATGGCTATATAAGATTAATGTGTATCTTGACTTTCTGCAATTGAAAATCCAGCACCCACTTTTAGTTTATAGAAAAGCATCAGGTAATTACCTGTGAACACATTTGGGGCACAACATATTGTCTTCAAGATGCGGGGGTGGAAAATTGGAGGCAGGAAGCAAGAAGAGTGCACTCACTCTCCCTTCTTGCTTTTCTGGAACCCAGGCTTGACCAGCATGAAACTGCAGGTGAACCCAACCACCTGTGTCTGCAGGGAGGCTTCTCCCATGGACCACACACCACCTGACACCTGGCGAAGGAGAGAGACAGGCACCCACACACCAGGATGACATACCGATGTAAGGCTGCATTATGGCCCATCACCCTTGATTGACCAACTCCAAGATGTGAACCCTGAAATCCTAACTTAACCTCTTCTCTATTCTGTTCTCCTTTAGAAAAGCATACAAGACAGTTCCTGTTAAAACTTAAAAATCTAGGCAGGGCGCGGTGGCTCATGCCTGTCATCCCAGCACTTTGGGAGGCCGAGGCGGGCGGATCATGAGCTCAGGATATCGAGACCATCCTGGCTAACACGGTGAAACCCCGTCTCTACTAAAAATACAAATTAGCTGGGCGTGGTGGCGGGTGCCCGTAGTCCCAGCTACTTGGGAGAATGAGGCAGGAGAGTGGCGTCAACCTGGGAGGCGGAGCTCGAAGTGAGCCATGATCACACCACTGTACTATAGCCTGGGCAACAGAGCAAGACTCCGTCTCAAATAAATAAATAAATAAATAAATCTAGTTGGAATAGTTGTAGGTGGGCAGATGGTAGAAAGACTAACCCAGAGTGTCTGGAAACGGCTTCATGAAACAAGCTCAGGGACCCCAGCTCTGAACACACATTGGATTGTGCTAAACAGTTTATTGTCTTCTTTTCTTGTATTTTCTGTAATTCTTACAACATATAAGGTAGGTATTGCCCATTTTACAATGAAAACACTGGGAAATATTTTAAATAACTTATTAATGCCATTCTGGGGCTCAGCTGCAGGCAATTAATTTTAGATCTTACTTTTAATTTAAATTGCTTAAAGGGGAAAGAAAGAAAACCAAACTGCCATCCTCTTCTGATGCCATCAATCATTTAAAGCAGTGGTTCTCAAACTGTGGTCCCCAGACCAGCATCCTTACTGCTGCCTGGAAAACTGAGAAATGCAAACTCTCGCTGGGTGCAGTGGCTCACACCTGTAATCCCAGCATTCTGGGAGGCCGAGGCAGGCGGATCATCTGAGGTCGGGAGCTTGAGACCAGCCTGACCAACATGGAGAAAACCCGTCTCTACTAAAAATACAAAATTAGCCGGGCATGGTTGCGCCTGCCTGTAATCCCAGCTACTCAGGAAGGCTGAAGCAGGCGAATTGCTGGAACCCAGGAGGTTGAGGTTGTGGTGAGCCAAGAGCGCACCACTGCACACTAGCCTGGGCAACAAGAATGAAACTCTGTCTCAAAAAAAAAAGAAAGAAAGAAATGCAAATGCTCAGGTCCTGTCCTAGACCTGAATTAGAAACTCTGTGGGCAGGGTCCAGGAATCGCCGGCCCTCAAAGGCATTTTGATATACCCTAAAAGGTTATCAGGCATTAATCTCTACTAAGCTTATTTCCCCACTGGACCAGAATAAGCTCTTCGTGTTGGGCTTACCACAGGCCTCTTGTGGAGATTCCACTGCCTCTGGCGTCCTCGCCCTGGCCGAAATTCTCGCCCAGGAGGCCAGCAAAGCCTCCGGGGCAGAAGTTGTCACCACAACTGTATTAACTCCCTCAAGGAGAGCAGTGGAATTTTCCAGGGCAGGCGGCCCCTCCGCAGGGGGAAGGGCCACTTCAGGAGGGTGTGTCTCAGAACTTTGCAGGGACGTTTCCCCTTTTTCCACCTTTAATTTTTTTTGCAATGATTTCCGGATTTTGGCCTCTTTTGCTGTGCTAGGAAAATCCTACAAAAAGGGTTAAATAATAAAGATAAAAATAAAGATTAAAATTCTAACAAAAATGGCCTCAGAGTTAAGGAGCTCTTGATCAAATGCAAAGTTTCACTTAGACAGGAGGTCTAGGTTCAAGAGATCCATTGTACAACTTGGTAACTATACATAGTTAATAACAATGTACTGTCTTCTTGAAAATTGCTCAGTTGGCTGCACATGGCTCAGGTCTGTAATCCCAGCACTTTGGGAGGCCAAGGTTGGTGAAACACTTGAGGTCAGGAGTTCGAGACCAGCCTGGCCAACGTGGTGAAACCAAGTCTCTACTAAAAATACAAAAATTATCCAGGCGTGGTGGCTCAAGCCTGCAATGCCAGCTACTCAGGGGGCTGAGACTGGGGAATCACTTGAACCAGGGAGGCGGAGGTTGCAGTGAGCCTGCACTCCAGCCTAGGTGACAGAGGGAGACTCTGTCTTTAAAAAAAAAGAAAGAAAGAAAGAAAGAAAATTGCTGGCCGGGCACAGTGGCTCACGCCTGTAATCCCAGCACTTTGGGAGACCAAGGCGAGCGGATCACGAGGTCAGGAGTTCTAGACCAGCCTGGCCAACATGGTGAAACCCTGTCTCTACTAAAAATACAAACATCAGCCAGGCGTGGTGGCAGGTGACTGGTGACTGTAATCCCAGCTACTCTGGAGGCTGAGGCAGGAGAATCGCTTGAACCCAGGAGGTGGAGGTTGCAGTGAGCTGAGATTGCGCACTGCACTCCAGCCTGAGCAACAAGAGCGAAACTTCGTCTTAAAAAAAAAGAGAAAGAAAGAAAACCTGGGCACGGTGGGGCTCACGCCTGTAATCCCAGCACTTTGGGACGCTGAGGTGGGCAGATCACCTGAGGTCGGGAGTTCGAGACCAGCCTGGCCAACGTGGAGAAATGCCGTCTCTACTAAAAATCCAAATTAGCCAGGTGTGGTGGCGCATACCTGTAATCTCAGCTACTCGGGAGGCTCAGCCAGGAGAATCATCTGAACCCGGGAGGCAGTGGATGCGTGGAGCAAAATTCTGTCTCAATAATTATAATAATAATAATAATGTAGTATGTAAAGTGATGTATGTATTAATTAGCTTGAGTTGGCCATTCCACAATGTATACATATTTCAAAGTCATGTGCTGTACATGATAAAAATATACAATTTTTGACAATTAAAAAAATTTAAGTGCTACCTCTTTTTATTTTTGAGACAGCGTTTCACTCTTGTGCCCAGGCTGGAGTGCATGCAATGGTGCATCTTGGCTCACGGCAACCTCTGCCTCCTGGTTTCAAGCAATTCTCCTGCCTCAGCCTCCTGAATAGCTGGGATTACACGCATGCACCACCACACCTGGCTAATTTTTGTATTTTTAGTAGAGACAGTATTTCACCATGTTGGCCAGGCTGGGCTGCCTCATTTTTATTATTCTTTGCAGACTTGGTGAGAAGTAGGGATGGAAGGCCAGGCACGGTGGCTCACACCTGTAATCCCAGCACTTAGGGAGGCCAAGGTGGGCAGACCACGAGGTCAGGAGTTCAAGACCAGCCTGACCAAAACAGTGAATCACCACCTCTACTAAAAATACAAAAAATTAGCTAGGCGTGGTGGTGGGCGCTTGTAATCTCAGCTACTTAGGAGGCTGAGGCAGGAGATTTGCTTGAATCCGGGAGGTGGAAGTTGCAGCGAGCTGAGATGGTGCCACAGCACTCCAGTCTGGGTGACAGTGCAAGACTCCATCTCAAAAAAAAAAAAGGAAAGTAGGCATGGGAAATACTGTTCTTTCTTAGAACTAGGGGTGGAGGGACAAGCGGAGGCTAAGACAGTTCCTTTACTCACTTTTGAGGCTACAATAGGTAATTAGGATAAGCACTGAAACGTACATCCTTTAAAAAGTTACCTTTTGATTTGGGTAGGCAAAGGCACACAGGCGCTTATATGCATCCAATTTCTAAGACAACAGAAAACTGAGTTAGTAAGGCAAGTAAGGTTCCTACCCTTCCTCCCAGCAGTACCGTCCCCAGCCTAGGCCCTCACCTGGCCTTTGGAGCTCAGCTTCAACTGTTGGCACCAGGCCCGCAGAATGTCCCGGTGAATCAGATTAACAGGTGGCAGTTTAGAGGGTAATGGAGGGATTGGTATCTTCTTCTGAGGTCTGGGGTTGTCACTGTACTCTGCCTTCTTCTTAGGACAGGGCACTGAAGGAGAATGGAATCAAATTAGTAGTAATTAACTTTGTGTATCTTTTCAGAATTTCAAAAGTAAAATCACTTTTTTTTTTTTTTGGAGAGAGAGAGTCTTGCTTTGTCGCCCAGCTGGAGTGCAGTGGCGCGATCTTGGCTCCCTGTAACCTCCGCCTCCTGGGTTCAAGCAATTCTCCTGCCTCAGCCTCCTGAGTAGCTGGGATTACAGATACCCACCACCACGCCCGGCTAATTTTTTTTCTATTTTTAGTGGAGATGAAGTTTCACCATGTTGGCCAAGCTGGTCTCGAACTCCTGAACTTGTGATCTGCTCACCTAGGCCTCTCAAAGTGCTCGGATTACAGACCTAAGCCACTGCGCCCGGCCTAAAATCAGTTTTAGTTATTAATAGTTCAATCCCTCTCAAACCTAGGATTTACCACTTCTAAATCCCAGTTTTATTCCTAAATCTCCCCACTACTCAGGTACACATGCTCCTTTGCGAACCCCTTATAATCCACAGAACCCAGGTGGTGGCACCGGAGATGGCACTTCCATCCCAGGGGAATTACCGCTTAGACTTGAGATCATACTCAGTGGTGTCCTCTATCCACAGAGCAAACTCAACACCTGACAATGCTACACAGGCAACCACTAATATCCCTACTTCTGCCAGCCCACCCTAGTCAGGGCAGCACTCTGGTTTCATAGCAGGTATGCTTCCTTAGCTGTGCTGTGTTTCTGTTCATCCGGCTTCTGCATCTCACATACCTTGTCTTCATTCAGTAAAGATATTTGGCCAGGCGCAGTGGCTCATACTGTAATCCCAGCGCTCTGGGAGGCCGAGGTGGGGGGATAACCTGAGGTCAGGAGTTTGAGACCAGCATGGCCAACATGGTGAAATGCCGTCTCTACTAAAAAAAAAAAAAAATTTCGCTGGGCATGATGGCACATGCCTGTAATCCCAGTTACTTGGGAGGCTGAAGCTGGATAACTGTTTGAACCCAGGAGGCAGAGGTTTTAGTGGGCCAGGATCATGCCAAAAAAATGTCTAAGGCTGGGTCTGGTGGCTCACACCTGTAATCCCAGCACTTTTTAGGAGGCCAAGGCAGATGGGTCACTTGAGGCCAAGAGTTCACAACCAGCCCGGCCAATATGGTAAAATTCCGTGTCTACTAAAAATACAAAAATCAGCCAGGCATGGTGGCACACGCCTGCAATCCTAGCTAACTTGGGAGGCTAAGACAGGACAATCGCTTGAACCAGGGAGGCACAGGTTGCAGGGAACTGAGATGGTGCCCCCACACTCCAGCCTGGATGACAGAGCAACACCCTGTCTTGGTGTCTCAAAAAAAAAGACACAGCCTGTAATGACACTTACAGTTAGTAGGGTTTACTGTGTACATATTACTTCTTAGGCATAGTGTAAGTACTTCACTTAATTATTCTATGTAAATTTTAACACTCCATTCCCACACCCGAATAAAGGTAGATATTGTTCAAACTTATTTTTAGAATAGGAAGTCCGGTTTCAAGAATGGGTCTTCAAATTTACAGCTGTCTGTTCCCAAATCATTGCACATTGAAATTCTTAACTCCAAGTAGCAAGTGAAGGAAAAAATGATCAACAGAACCAAATATGCTGTGGAAGTCTGAAGACAGGAAGGGATCGGTTAGGGCAATGGTGACCAAAAGATGCTTCAGGAAGGTGCAGTTTAAGCTAGACTCCCATGAACTGTAGGATTTGCACAATATATGACGGAAATTTCTTCCCTGGCTTTTCTTCTTCAGAAAAATCCCTCTGGCTTCTAAGACCTGAGAAAGTGGGATGTGAGGATTTGAAGACCTCTTACCTTTCTTGCCTTTGACAGACTTTTTTTCTTTGGTTCCCTTTGCTGATGTTCCTGGCAAAGCAATCATGTTTGGTTGATTAGAAGCCTGCTGATCCTCTTCCCTCGACTTCTCTGTGGAGGTCTACTGGGAACAGAGGAGCTGGTCAGTCATTCCTCCAGTGTCCAAACCACACATACACTACCTGCCTCAAGATAACTCACTTCTAAGGCACCAAGGCAGTCACTGGACTCCACTGGCAGTGTGGATTCTCCTCTGGGTATCATCTTAATACACACTGTCATGCAGGCCAGGCGTGGTGGCTCACGCCTCTAATCCAAGTGCTTTAGGAGGACAAGGCAAGAGGATCGCTTGAGTCCAGTAGTTGGATACCAGCCTGAGCAACAAGTGAAACCTTGCCTCTACAAAAAGGAAACAAGATTAGCTGAGCATGGTGGTACGTGCCTGTAGCCCGAGCTACTCAAGAGACTGAGATAGGAGAATCACTTGAGCCAGGGAGGTAGGTAGAGGCTGCACCGCTGCACTCCAACCTGGGTGGCAGAATGAGACTGTCTCAAAAAAAAAAAAAAAAAAAAAAAAAAAGAAAGGCCCTTAACTCACCTACTGTATTCCATCATCTCTTACCTGAAGAATTTTTTTCCCCCAATCCTTCATTCTTGACCCCTTCCAAATAAATTATTTCCTAACACTGTTGGCAGTGACACATCCTTTCAGTGGTTTATTGCTCTCAGCATAAAAATAATTATCTTTTTACCAGACTCTTACCTCCTATTTCACACTGCTCTCCCTACCCAAGCTCCAGCCACGTAATTCCTTTCCTTTCCAAAGTTGTTACACATTCCTCAACCCCAACCTCCACCCTACTTCTATTTACACTTTAAAATCTTAGACCTTAAAAATCTTCCTCTTTTAAGTGTTATTTAACCTGGGAACCCCTTCTAGTCCTTCCAGACAAATCTACTACATACTGTCTCATTTCTACTACTTGTTAATTGCAATTAAATTTGTTTGTGTGATTTGATTAATGATTGACACTCCTCTTGACTATAAGCTCCATGAGGATAGCATTTCTTTCCTTTTCATCATAGGCACTCAATAAATATTGGTTAATTGAATCAAAGAAAGCAAAGTGGGAGTGGAGAAAAGTTGTTTAATCCAGAGACAGTAACATATATTGATCCCTGTCTCATACCAGGCATTCGCTTGATATGTTCCTTATTTTCATTCTTTTTAAAAAAATATTTATTTATTAGCCGGGCGCGGTGGCTCAAGCTTGTAATCCCAGCACTTTGGGAGGGAGGTCAGGAGATCGAGACCATCCTGGCTAACACGGTGAAACCCCGTCTCTACTAAAAAAAATACAAAAAAACTAGCCGGGCGAGGTGGCGGGCGCCTGTAGTCCCAGCTACTCGGGAGGCTGAGGCAGGAGAATGGCGTGAACCCGGGAGGCGGAGCTTGCAGTGAGCTGAGATCCGGCCACTGCACTCCAGCCTGGGCGACAGAGCGAGACTCCGTCTCAAAAAAAAAAAAAATTATTTATTAAAGAAAAGGGCTTGCTCTGTCGCCCAGGCTGGAATGCAGTGACAGGACGGTAACTCACTCCAATCTCTACCTCCTCAAGTGATCCTTTGCCTCAGTCTCCTGAGTAGCTGGGACTACAGGTACCACCACGCCTGGCTAATGTTTCGTAGAGATGAGGTGTTGGGATTAAAGGCGTGAGCCACCGCGCCCAAGGGCTCCCTATATTCTTTTTATTTGAGAGGAGTCTCGCTCTGTCGTCCAGGCTGGAGCGCAGTGGCACAATCTCAGCTCACTGCAACCCCACCTCCCGGGTTCAAGCAATTCTCTGCCTCAGCCTCCCAACTAGCTGGAATTACTGGCGCCCGCCATGACGCCCAGCTGGTTTTCGTGGTTTCACCATGCTGACCAGGCTGGTCTCAAACTCCTGGCCTCAAGTGATCCGCCCACCTCGGCCTCCCAAAGTGCTGGGATTACAGGCATGTGCCACTGTGCCTGGTCTTGGCCTTCCTTATTTTCATTCATTTAATTCTCATAGCAATCTGGCAACAATTTACTTCTCAGACACAGAAGCTGAGGATCAGAGGTAACATAAAGACACACAGATTAAGAGTACGTTAGATATAAATTAAAATTTAAATATCAAGGCTGGGCTCCGTGGCTCACGCCTGTAATCCCAGCACTTTGGGAGGCCGAGGTGGGCTAATGGAGGTCAGGAGTTCGAGACCAGCCTGGTCAACATATCGAAACTCAATCACTACCAAAAATACCAAAACTACCTGGGCGTGGTGGTGCGCGCCTGCAGTCCCAGCTAATCCGGTGGCTGAGTCAGGAGAATCGCTTGAACCCGGGTGGCAGAGGCTGCAGTGAGCCGAGATCGGCTACTGCACTCCAGCCTGGGCGACAGAGTGAAACTCGATTCATTAAAAAAAATAATAATCTCAATTACTTCTTCCTACCACCCTTTTCTCCTGTTACCATTTCCCTCTAGCCCCGATATTCGGTTAATTCTTTCTGACAGGACAAAGCACCTCTTCAAAACAAAACCCGGCGGGCAGCAGCGGCGCGCGCCTGTAGTCCCAGCAGCACTTTGGAAGGCCGAGGTGGGAGGATCGCTTGAGCCTGGGAGGTCGAGGTTGCAGTGAGCAGTGATGGTGCCACTGCACTCCTGTCCGGGAGACAAAGTGAGAGACCCTGTTCCAAAACTAACCTGAAAGCCTGATTTTTTAACTTTTTCTTCTGAGATGGAGTTTCGCTCTTGTTGCCCAAGCTGGGGGTGCAATGGCGCGACCTCGGCTCACCGCAACCTCCGCCTCCCGGGTTCAAGCGATTCTCCTGCTTCAGCCTCCCGAGTAGCTGGGATTACAGGTGTGCGCCACCACACCCAGCTAATTTTGTATTTTTAGTAGAGACGGGGTTTCTCCATGGTGGTCAGGCTGGTCTCGAACTCCCGAGCTCAGGTGATCCGCCCGCCTCGGCCGCCCAAAGTGCTGGGATTACAGGAGTGAGCCACCGCGCCTGGCCTCTTTTTTTCCCCCTATCTTTTGACACCTTCAACCTCCTCAACTAACCCTAGAAAACCTCATTTCTTGTCTCCTCTCTCCAATATACCAGGCTGCAATCATGTTCTTGGGCTTTACTCTTAAAAAAAAAAAAAAAAAAGTCAAGAGGAGAAAATTCGAAGGCGCATTCTTTTCTCCTCAATAGAAAAACCAAGAGTGCCCAGGGAAGACAGAAACACGAAGACAAAGACAGAAAACAAATCCACTAAAACTGTACTGACCTCCTTGCCTTTTGCCTTCTCCATACTTGTAGAAGCGGAGCCTCGCAAATGCTTCCAAAATGGCCCCAGCCCTAAGATTGCAGTTTGCAAAGTCTCCTCCCACTTCCTGCCGCCAGAAGACCCTTTTTCTCCCCTCCTCACCTCTTATTTTCTTCTCCCCCTCTGTTCCCTCCCCCACAATTTGTAAATGCTAAAATTGCATTCTTTCTTATTCATGGGGTGACCTTTGTCTGGGTTGAATTACTAATACTATTCCTGGCCCTTTTCTGTGCACTTTAAATGTAATTATCCAAAGTATGGTTCTGGAGACTGTGGGAGATTCAGGACTCCTTCAGAAAGATTCTACCGGGAGAAAAAAAAAAGTCTCTACCGGCCAGAGAATTGAGCAGGATGTGTGAAGGGATTTAATAATGGGACTTGTGTAAACAGTAGACTTCAGGGACCAGACTGGCGGCTTGAAGAAAGCTATTTTCTTGTACCAAATACATTCCATTTCCTAAGTTACTCACTCAACTAAAACTCCAGGTTTCTCTGTACTAATACCGAGCATCATTTCATCTGCCAACGAACTAATAATAGTAGCTCTTAAAGTCTATGGAATATTTGTTATTTATTTATTTTGTAGAGGGCAAGTTGGGTGTGGGTGGGGATCTCGCTATTTTGACCAGGCTGATCTCGAACTCCTGCCCTCAAGTGATTCTCCAGCCTTGTCCTCCCAAAGTGTTGGGATTACAGGCGTGAGCCACCACTCCCAGCCCAAGTATTTTTTTATATCTCAAATTGAGGGTTTAAAACTCAGTCATTATTGTTCCCCATTTTATATATGACTAAAGTTTGGTATAAAATTTTATTGGTAACTTTTCCAATAGCACAGTAAGTGAACCCCTAACCTACTGACTCCCAAAGAAGTTCAAGTTTTTCTCCTTAAAATAATTTGAGGCCGGGCGCGGTGGCTCAAGCCTGTAATCCCAGCACTTTGGGAGGCCGAGACGGGCGGATCACGAGGTCAGGAGATCGAAACCAGCCTGGCTAACTCGGTGAAACCCCGTCTCTACCAAAAAATACAAAAAACTAGCCGGGCGAGGTGGTGGGCGCCTGTAGTCCCAGCTACTCGGGAGGCTGAGGCAGGAGAATGGCGTAAACCCGGGAGGCGGAGCTTGCAGTGAGCTGAGATCCGGCCACTGCACTCCAGCCTGGGCGACAAAGCAAGACTCCGTCTCAAAAAAAAAAAAAAAAAATTGAAAAATCCTTCCTCAGATCAATGTTCCCTGTCAGGTTGTCAAGAGATGTGAAGTGAAGGAAGCAGTGGCTGTGCGACTGAAACCCTCCCTTGTCAGGGTCCAAAGTCTCCTTCGTTCTTTGGTTTACTTTGTTGTATTTTTTTCGCTTGTCCTAAAATGATAAATAAGAGACCATCTTTAATCCAAATGGTGTTAGTAATCTGCTCACAGGCTAGAAATCCACGGACAGAGAAAGTAAGTAAACGGAGCCCAGGAATGGAGAAGGAAGTGCAGGTTGTGGACTGGGCAACCCCCAAGATGGCAAAGAGGAAACCAGGTGAGTTGAGGTCATCTGGGAGATATTAGGGCTTTGATTTAACAATTCTTTACTACAGCCTTTGAAAACCACCAGTACGACTTACTAGTTAAGGTTTGTGTATAGAGTGTATAATTGAATCATCTTTCTTTTCTCAGTGTAATTGAATGCAACATTCAGAATAATTGGAGTTCTGGGCTGGGCGTGGTGGCTCACACCTGTAATCCCAGCACTTTGGGCAGCTGAGGTGGGCAGGTCACTTGAGTTCAGGAGTTTGAGACCAGCCTGGCCAACAATGCAGAACCCCTTCTCTACTAAAAATACAAAAATTAGCCGGGCATGGTGGTGCGTGCCTGTAATCCCAGCTATTGAGGAGGCTGAGGCAGGAGAATTGCTTGAGCCGGAGAGGCAGAGGTTGCAGTGAGTCGAGATGGTGCCCCCACACTCCAGCTTGGGTGACAGAGCGACACTCCGTCTCAAAACAAACAAACAAACAAACAAACAAACAGAATAATTGGAGTTCTGAATTAAATATAAACTGAGGCACTGAAACATCTAATTCTGGGCAAGGTACAAACTAATTTGGTATGAACAGATGGAGTGTATACTGGGATTAATCATTTATAAATTATTGGGTCCACTACTATTTCTGGGAACACAATTCTAAAAGAATTGCACCAACCATTTAAAACATGGGTTAGCTGACATCCTATACATAAATTAGTACAATTTAATTTAAAATGTTTGGAAATAACTGGAAATAATATTACTGAGTTCTGGAAATAAGCAAAAAGCCAAATATGGTCGGCTCCTGCCTGTAATCTCAGCATTTAGGGGGGCTGAGGTAGAAGGATTGCCAGAACCCGGGAGTTTAAGACCAGCCTGGGCAATTTAGTGAAATCCTGTCTCTACAAAAAATAGAAAAAGAAATTAGCTGGGTGTGGTGGCACGTGCCTGTATTCCATCAGGAGGCTAAGGTAGGAGGATCACTTGAACCCAGGAATTTGAGGCTGCAGTGAGCTGTGATCATGCCACTGCACCCTAGCCTGGGCAATAGAGCCAGACCCTGTCCCCTCTCCTCATGAAAAAGCAAAAAACAAAAAAAAAAAAAAAAAAAAAAAGTCAAATATCTTTTTGTCAGGTTTGTTGGAGTTGTAATTTATAGGCAGTTTGGAGCAAAGTGCAACCTATTTGTGCATTGGTTTCTCAAATGTAAAGTAGGAATAACTGCAAGTTTATTGTGTTTTCTGAGAAATAACTAATTTTGTGTGTAAAATTTCCTACAAATATTTGGTAGTCAAAAGAAAAATTTTACTGCTATTTTTAATGTTATAATTCCAGTGCCTACACTTCTATCTTGATTTCAAAAAGTATTCATAATTGAACAACCGAATCTCCCATTCACTTATTGAATAAAAATGTATTAAGTGCTTTTTTTTTTTTTTTTTTTTTGAGAGGAAGTCTCGCTTTGTCACCCAGGCTGGAGTGCAGCCTCCACCTCCTGTATTTAAGCGATTCTCATGCCTCAGCCTCCAGAGTAGCTGGGACCACTGGCTCATGCCACCACACCCATCTAATTTTTGTATTTTTAGTGGAGATGGGGTTTCCCCATGTTAACCAAGCACTTGAACTCCTGACCTCACATGTTCCATCTGCCTCAGCCTCCCAAAGTGCTGGGATTACAGGCATGAGCCACCACGCCCGGCCCACATGCTTTCAAAATATATTTTATTTATATGTATAATCAAAACAAATGCAAACTGTTCAATTATGACCCTTGCAAAGCAGGATAATTCCCTATGTATGACAGCCTACAATAGAGGTTTTTATTTTGTTTTGTTTATACCGATGAGGTCTCACTGTTGCCCAGGCTGGTCTCGAATCCCTAGGTTTAAGTGGGCCTCCCTCCTTGGCCTCCCAAAGTTCTTGTATTATAGGCATGAGCCCCTTGCCCTGCCCTGTAACAGGGGTTTTGAAGTCAGAAAAGTATCAGATCTAGAGGAGGTGGGGAACTGAACTAACTGAATAGGGGAAGGGAAGGATGAGCTCTGGGAAGAAGGCACCCCACTCCTGAGACAGCTCAGCATGGTCAGGGACTGAAAGAAGAGCAGTGGGGCTGGAGCTCAGAGAGGGAGGGGTTAAATGTGAGCTGAGTGGGATAGGTAGGCCTTCTGATCTTTAGGTTGAGGACCACGGGGAAGCTACTGAAGTATTCAAGGTGTGGGTAAGGATGGGCTGACTCTGATGAGCATCTTGTAAAGCCCTCTCAACTTCAATGAGAAAGAAATGGGGATGATCAGAGATGGCACAGAGGTGAGTTAGGAGGCTACTGAGCAGCCTTGAGACTGGAGAGGAAGTATGGACTGTGTTTAAGAGCACAGACCCCAGGGCCGGACATGGTGGCTCACGCCTGTAATCCCAGCACTTTGGGAGGCCAAGGCAGGTGGATCACGAGGTCAGGAGTTGAAGACCAGCCTGGCCAGTATGGTGAAGCCCCGTCTCTACTAAAAATATAAAAATTAGCTGGGCGTGGTGGCACATGTCTGTAATCCCAGCTACTCGGGAGGCTGAGGCAGGAGAATTGCTTGAGCCCAGGAGGCAGAGGTTACAGTGAGCGGAGATTGCGCCATTGTACTCCAGCCTGGGCGACAGTGTGAGACTCCATCTCAAAATAAAAAATAAAATAAAAATAAAACATAGCAGGGCGCGGTGGCTCACGCCTGTAATCCCAGCACTTTGAGAGGCCAAGGCGCGCGGATCACGAGGTCAGGAGATCAAGGCCATCCTGGCTAACACGGTGAAACCCCCGTCTCCGTTAAAAACACAAAAAATTAGTTGGGCGTAGTAGTAGGCGCCTGTAGTCCCAGCTACTCCGGAGGCTGAGGCAGGAGAATGGCATGAGTCCGGGAGGCGGGGTTTGTAGTGAGCCGAGATCGCGCCATTGCACTCCAACCTGGGCAACAGAGCGAGGCTCTGTCTCAAAAAAATAAAAATAAAAATAAGAAATAAAACATAAAAGCACAGACACCAAATCCAGGCCAGACTGACTGATTTTTAAATGTAAGGCTTTAGCAGCTAGCCAGACAGGATTTAAACCCCAGTCTCCCCTTCACCAGCTGTGTGACCTGGGCAAAAACTTTAAGTCTCTTCCTTTTATTATCTGTAAAATGAGGCTGATGAAAATAATAGCTTTTACTTAGAGGGTTGTGGGCGTGTCTGGAGAACACAGTGTCTGGCACAGCACATGTTGGGATCAGAAGAGCGGGGTGTGGTGGCTCTGGTGGCTTATGTCAGTAATCCCGGCACTTTGGGAGGGAGGAGAATCGCTTGAGCTCAGGCAATATAGTGAAACCCCACTTCTACCAAAAATACAAAAACTTACCAGGTGTGGTGGTGCACGCACGGGTGCCAGATCCTCCAGAGGCTGAAGTGGGAGTATGGCTTGAGTCCAAGAGGTGGAGGTCGCAGTGAGCCGAGATCATGCCACTGTACTCCAGTCTGGGTGACATAGTGAGACCCTGTTTCAAAAAAAAAAGACCAAAAAAAAGAGAGAGAGAGAGAGAGAAATTTGGAGAGGAATGAATTTGAGAGATGTAGGGGTATTGTGGCTGGGTTTTCTTTCATTTTTCCTTTTCCTTATTATTATTATTTTTTTTAAGAGGTCTCCCTATATGGCCCAGGCTGGTCCCAGGTGAAACTGCTTGTCCCAGGTGAAACTCCTGGTCTCACGTGATCCTCCCGCTTTAGCCTCCAGAGTAGCTGGGATTAAAGGCCAACACCCCTAAACCCAGCTT